TACAAATGTGCAGATAACACGACTGGAGGCGACATGGAAAGAGCTGAGGAGGGAGTACACAGAGAGCGCAGTTTTATTTGAGAAGAATCTCAAACCGTTCATGAAGTCGCTGAATGAGGGAGATGGTGAGTGGCTGTGTTTACATCGTCTATGCAAGTTACTTTTGTTCAGCGCGGTTAGAAATATTTGTTTCTTGTGGTTTGATCAGGCGTTACAAAGATACAGTACTGTGCAAAAGTCTCGAGCACCCTTCATTTCTTTAGATTTGGCTTGTAAAATGGGGAAATAGGTGCAGCAATTTATTGAAACCTGTGCAAACATGCACGGAAATACAGTATGTAAGGCAAAAACAGAATTTGTACATTTCTAATGAGCGTATTCTTCAACCTGGCCTAGACTCTCTTAGGCAGGTTTTCTCGTAACTTCTTTAAGTAGTCTTCAGGAACAGTTCTCCAGGCTTCTTGAAGAACAATCAAAGCTCTTCTTTGGAAGCTTTTTGGTCCCTCTTTTCTTCTCTCTGTCATGATTTTGCTGCAGTATCCCTTCTCCTTATACTAGCAGTTGGCAGTGATTTTCAGTCTACCTCTAGTGTAATTTGGCACACCTCAGCCCTTTCTCCTCATTTCCCTTGCGTAAGAATGGCTTCTTGACAGCTAACTTATTTCTGATGAGGCTTCAGCAAACAGTAAATGGATCAATTCATCACTCAGGTCCTGTCTCAGTCCTCTGCTGTATTTTTTCTGTTTCTTAAGGACATGAATATCAGACTGTTTATCTGCTGTAGACAGTTTTTTTTTATGCCTCCCACTTCTTCTTTTGTCCTCCACTTGCATAGTTTTCCTTCTTTCCTTCCTCCTTTCTTTTTTAAGGAGAGACTGCAGAAAATGCTGAGATATGGCAAGTTTACAGCTAACAGCTCTTTGGGAAAAAACTTGCTGGTGCAAAAATACTACTCTATGCCTGTCAAACTGTTATCTTTGGCATTTTTCATAGATTCGGCTAAAGAAGTAGGAACAATTATCTACTTTTCCCCCACAAGCTGTACAAAGTGCCTAAAGATACAATTTTAAAGTGCATCTTTGCTAAGTTGTCTGTTACATGCAGATACAACACTGATTCATCACATGAGTTAGGTGATGAATCTTAACATTGACAAACAAACAAAAACTCCCATTCATCTGAAAGTGGTCAGGTACAAGGCCTGGACCGAAAATGAGTGAAAAAGCTACCAACGCCCGAAACTTTGAAAGAGCATCAGAAAAACCTGGAGAACGATTAATGATGTCTGGCTCCTTAGAGGCAACATATAAAGAAATGAGTGGTGGCTCAAGACTTTTGCACAGCACTGTAAATTCACAACACAAGGATTTCTGTATAATATTCAAATTCATTTAAGGTCCAGTTATGCTTGTTATGCTCCTCATATATAACTCTAAGGAGGTTCTGCTTGGTGAGGTCCAGCTAATTAGAAGAAAGTCTCTCAGAGAGAGAAAGAGACCGGAGCTGAGGGCTTTTCTCTGCCTGAACCAGCATGGGATTTTTTCCCCCATTTAAAGCTTTTCTAATTTAGTAATAATATTTTTTTAAATTATTCAAATATAGTATAATATGTCCTCTTGACAGTATGTTGCACTGAAGCACCGTAGCAATTTCCTAATGTTGTAAACCTGCTCAACATCTGGCAATAAACCCTTTCTGATTCTGATTCTGATTCTGATTCTTGAATGTATAGGTTTATTAATAACAAGACTTTCTCATTATTGTTGCTAAGCATGTATAGGTTAGAAAAAGAAATGAAATAACTTCATGCAGCTGGATAATGAAGACCTGTCTAGAAGCCCTGCAGCATCATTCATTCTCTTCTCTGGACAGTCTTAAGTTTGAAAGCCTACCAAGAAAATGAACTTTATGTAACTCTGCTCAGTACTGTGCACATTTGGTTAAACTTTAATATAATTGGAAATAGTTTATCTGGATTTCAGGAGCAGGACCACGCCTCCATACACTTCCTGTTCTCTGTCTATGACCCTGTGTGAAAGCTGTGCATTCTCATTTTCAGGCCCCACTCACTCTCCCTCCCTTTCTCAATTCAGTCACTCCTCATTACTACATGAGGATCTGCCCGGCCTTCCCTAAACCGCAGCCTCAATTCATGGTCAAGCCGTCTGCCATCATCTACTGGACAAGCTGTCAAACCTAAATGACAATGTGGTCCCAACTAGTGAAATTACATATAGAGCACAATCAAGACCAATACTAATATTTGGCGATTTGATGTATTTTGGCAAACACACAAAAACATAACTTTCACTAAAATTTGACATATGTAATCATTTATCAGTCCTTTCTTAGATAATGTGACAATGCAGTTCTTCCTTTATTGTCGCAACAATTTGTGAATTAGTCATTTACACTCTGCACAGTTCTCCTTGCATCAGCTGGCTGTTTGTGGTGTCCCAAAAACATCAAGTTGCAGAATGCCGTCTCACAGACAAACTATGCAACATCAACATGAATAGCATGGTCAATCGCTTTCCTTTTTTTTCCCCCTTTACTAAATTTTCAGTTGCCAGCTAATACAAATATTGGCAAATATCTAATATTGGCTGATACATCAGTCAGGCTTTAATTATATATGTTAAGCTCTTATGAATATGCAGTTGATGTAGTATTCCCTGAAATGTGTAAGCAAACACTGATGTGTAAAATCTTTGCATTACCCCTGTGAGATTAATGGGTGCAGTGCTTTTGTTTGCAGGCTCTGTGGTCCAGGGCCCCATAGCCTTGCCACATCTGGTTCCACTGCTGATGCTAATGGAGGGTGAGGACCCAGTAGAGGACAGTGAAAGAGGCTGTCAGCTACTCTATGATGTCCTCCAATCTGCTCGCAGCGCTGCGTTGCATGCCCATGATTATCAGGAGCACGCACACGCTCTGCTCTCAGGTATGCACGATCATCCACACAATACAGTACAACATTATCATTAGTGTTATTAAGGAAACAAAAATGTCAGTGCACGTGAGTCCAAATGAGGGGGGAAATAATATTCAGTAAAACGTTTAAGGCAAATACAGCTTGTGTAAAAATGCTGGGAGGCAGCTGTGTTACTGAGCTGAAATTCAAGTCGAGAAAATGTTGAAGCCAAAACTGGCAACCTGGTGATATGGTGAGCAGAATATTCACTGTGCATCAATTTCCTTCAGCTTTATTAAGTAAGTCGAGAGAGTGTTTTGTGAAATATGGAAATGAAGTGGATTGCTCCCACAGGCTACAGATAATTGGTTCATCTGAGTAGCTTTTGCACCGAGCCCATTGTAATATAAAATAAACACTGGCTGAGACAGGAAGTGGAAAAGTAAAAAGCATTATGCTCAAAAACTGTGTACATTGTGAAACTTGTATCTTGGTGGTATCTGATCTGACTAAGTGTCCAACGCACTGTTCCAACAGGAGGCTGGGAGCCGATCCCCGAACTGCTCGAGGCTTTCCGCACAGAGTTCGCCCTGCGGCTGTTCTGGGGTCAGCTGGGCGCAAGAGCAGAGAGGAAGGAGCGATACGAGAAGTTTGATAAGGTTCTTTGTGTCCTCTCAAAAAAACTGGAATCTAAAGACAACCCGAACCTTTAACCTGAGCCTCAGCCCTCCGTTTCTCTGAGCAGAGAGCGAAATCGGCACTTTCTTCACTTGAGGAAAACGAGAAAAGGTTTCAGCCGAGCCTCTACGTGCTGTGGAGGTAAAGGAAGAGACATTTCTACTGGGAGATAAAATAGAGAAAAAAATGTTTTGTTTTGTTTTTTTCTTCCTGTACTTGCTGAGAAAAGACTGTATGTCGAGCTCGTCAAACAACAGCTTAACAACTTTCTTTTTCTTTTATTTTTTTAAACAGGAATGTGTGCACAGACCTTTATTGTGAAATAGGCCTGCGCCAGATTTCAAAATTGCTTTTCCAAAAACTGGAATGTGTTTACAAAATGTACATTTCTGATCCTTTTTTTAAAAATCATTGTTTAAAGAAGCCTCACTGGATACTCTATTTTTCACTTCAGTGTTTCGAAGCATAAATAAAAGTTTTCCTTTGTCATTTGTTTCTTATGAGTAACACTGCAATAAAACGAGACAAATGTTTTTCCTTTTTTATGATACAAGTAAATACAAACATTTTCTTTTAAAAAAAATGACAATGATTCCTTTTGAATGTTGAGAAAACATTTACTCGTGCGGGTCAGAGTGCTGGAGAAGACGTGCGTAAACCTTATGTGGCTCATCTTTAAACGTTTCAGATTTGATCTTAGAAATATTTGATAGCTGTTGGGAGGGATTCTAGTGAGGAGGTGAATCATAAAACTCATTTCCTTTCCACTGATGCCGTGATTCTTCAGAATATTGGCTGAACGGGCCATCGGCATTTCAAGTTTAAAGAAAAGAAGAAAAGGAAAGAGTTTTGTTTTTTAAAGGACCTCATTTTAGACAATCTGACCAGGCAAACATTCAGGAAACATGCAGTTTAAACCATTTGAGAATATGAGAAACAGAAAGCAAACAGCTGACCATGAGAGCTGTAACCCTTCCAGCGTGAGTCCGACCACCGCCAAAAACTGCCTGTAGACCACATTTGTATTAACAGATATGATAAAGCCAGTGAAGCTGCACCCTCAAACACAAGCAATTCACAGGGATCAAAAATTAATAAACTCT